TATATATATATATATATATATATATATATATATATATATATATGTACTCCTGAAATAATTCTGGTACGTTACAGGTCACACATGGAAGACAACGGTCTAACAGTTACATCTGCATGCTCTCCAACTTTATCAGTAAAGAACAGTTCTACAATTAAAAGTACACTTGGTAGTGATTTTATAAAACATCTACAACTGGTTGATAAACATAGAGAAATAAAATAGGTATATAAATAAACTTTTTAAATCATAACTATATTCCAGATTAAATAGAACAAAACTCGTGTATTTCCTACTTTTTGTCACTACACTCACTAAAATCTTTACAACTTATACAATATATATTCACTAAGTTTTATACACCCACACACAGGCATTTGTGAGGGATAAACATACATTCTTCTCAACAGACACAGGTTCTGTTAAATTCTAATAGATTCTATGGCTCAAGATTAGCATTTCAGATACAAGTTATTAACGTTAAAACAAATATATGGTGATTAAATCAAAACATATGCATATAAACTGAACAAGATTAGTCTCGGATGCATGCAGGTGCTTTGTAACCCCCCCGTTCGAACATTTGTTTTTCCCTTTCTCCAACTAGTGCAGAGAATATTGTTGTTTAAAACAAATGCTGATTAGCACATGACTTAAACAACTCAACAAACATTTGTCCTTGCTGAATGGAAGTAAATGATCATTACGTGACCTCGGTGAACTTCCTGTAACTAATAGTTACCTAATGTCAGCTCCATGTGTTGGAATCATGGACTGTAAGTCTGTCAAATAACCTTTAGGATCAACTACAGTCTGGCCACTCACTGAATCAGAAACCTGAAAAAATTTACATTCTTTAAAAATATAAAGTCAAAAACAATCTACCACACTTTTCAATACATCATGAAATTGTGATGCCAGTAACAGTTAGGGAAATGACTTGTCACATTCATATTAATTAACAATTGAATGGATTTAGAACTAAAATGTATATATATATTGAAATGTTATTTATTCACGAGTGCTCGATTCAGCTGGAAACCTTCTTTCAAAATTAAAGCTACACTAAGCCATCATCCACACCTAAACTTGACTGGGATGATGAAAACTAAATGTTTCCTAACATGCGAGCTAATACATTCTTAGAGTACCTGTAATCCAACAAGATGTGATAAAAAAACTGGGAATCAAATTGAACAGAAAACACAAAAGCCTGAAATATATTACCAAAACAATATCAAGGTGATTTGATAATAATATGTAACAAAAAATGTAATAATAAAACGTAACAAAAAAAACAACACAGACACCAGTAACTATAAGAAAATAAAAAATATTTGCAAACTTCATATAAGTTCCAAGAGCATATAAAATTAGAGTACACAAGTTTCTAAATAGCTGTTTAAGTGAAATTATTTGTTTAATATACTTTGTAAACATGACACATGCTTTTGATTTTCTTCCCTTGCGAATGTTTTAGTTTACCACAAGTTCTCTGTTATATTATCCACATTCATTTTATGCCATGTGGTTGATCCTCCACTGCTGGATAGTTTAATACCTGGTTCAGTTTAATGTCCATAAGAGTGTTCCTTGCTTGTCCAATCTTTCTCAAGTCCAGGTCACCACTTGGTGTGGCCCATCCTGGTGTCATTAAGCCACCTGGTGTTGTTGTACCGGGAAAAGGAGTAGCTAGTCCAACACTATAGGCCTGATAACATGAGTTTTAAAATGTATTGTATAAAAAAATATTGTAATAAAAACACTTTTTAACTACAAAAATTTCTTTCAAAATTAACCTGAGTCTGTTATAAAAATCTACAACAAGTTAGCTTCGAAATTAGTCTAAGTACAGAATTAGCATTATAACAAAGTATCTATATTTTTGAGGCCCAACACCACTACTAAGTTATACAAAATATGGGCTTTTTTTCTTTTTCTCAAGTAATTTAGGGGGATTCTTATTTTCAAGAAAAAATCCAAGTGCAAGAATTTCATTGATATTCTAAATTAATGCCATTTCAAAAATCAATAGCCATTTAATTGGACATACAGTCTGTTGGCTCCTTTCAGGTGGTCCTGGGAAAGGTTGAATGATTATGGACAGGAATGGCAATAGTGTACAGATCCTATTATGTCAGGGACCTAAATTTCTCAACATCTTGTTGATACAAAAATGGCAATAGTGTACAGATCCTATTATGTCAGGGACCTAAATTTCTCAACATCTTGTTGATACAGGAATGGCAATAGTGTACAGATCCTATTATGTCAGGGACCTACTCTGATCATTTTGTTGATATTAACAATACCATCTTTGTACATTATCAAAATGACATCTACCTTCTTAGGGTAAGTCATTTTTATACATTTTACAATCAAAATTTTTCATTAAGACATTCATATTATTTATAGCAGATCAACACTGTAAGAATATTTAACATAAAATTAAAGATTTTTCCTATCTTTACGTCGACACATGCAGTGCTCCGATATCTCAACTTTTCCTCCTAATTATACCTAAATAATGCAATTGGAATTTGTAACCTATTGTTCAGACTCTACTGATTAGTCTCTTACCTTTCAGCAAAAATATAATGTTTGATCTCTTACCTTTCAGTCAGGGTCTACTGTTTAGTCTCTTACCTTTCAGTCATGGTGTCCTGCTTGGTCTCTTACCTTTCAGTCAGGGTCAACTGTTTAGTCTCTTACCTTTCAGTCATGGTGTCCTGCTTGGTCTCTTACCTTTCAGTCATGGTGTCCTGTTTAGTCTCTTACCTTTCAGTCAGGGTCTACTGTTTAGTCTCTTACCTTTCAGTCAGGGTCTACTGTTTAGTCTCTTACCTTTCCATCAGGGTCTACTGTTTAGTCTCTTACCTTTCCATCAGGGTCTACTGTTTAGTCTCTTACCTGTTGGTCAGGGTCTACTGTTTAGTCTCTTACCTGTTGGTCAGGGTCTACTGTTTAGTCTCTTACCTGTTGGTCAGGGTCTACTGTTTAATCTATTACCTGTTGACGAGGGTCTACTGTTGTGACAGAATCTCCTCCCAATGCTGCTTTTGTTAAAATGGAGTCTGGCATAGGAGTGAACCTGAAACATAAGGACATTCACATATCAAGTTAAGTTTGGACATTCACATATCAAGTTCTGAGAGTAAAATCAAATCAGATAACAGTGATCTCAATTACTTCCCATTGGCAAAAACATCAATAAATAAACAGAAAACTTCAAGAAGGCTCCTTTAAAACTCTCTTCTTTAATATAAAGCAGCTTGGTATGGTTAATGTTTATAAGATCCTTTTTTGAAAGTCAAAATATAAATTAATTGCAATAGGACAATAAATTGAAAGCGTTTTTGAACATAAAATCTCATCCAATAGAAACAAATTTTTTGTTAACTTTAAAGTTTTGGCAAAATTTCCTCTATGTTTTTTCAAACTCCTACAGTTGTGCATTGAGAACGTTGATAACCTTTCACCTAATAAAAATATTTATTATTCTTTAATCTTCTACAGCCTTACATTGAAAACACTGATCTATACTTTACAGTTAAGTTGTAGCAGCTAGCGCATAACCTTACTTTTCTGGACGAGGATTCCGTTGTCTCTTATTACGAGCATCACCAACCTCGGGGATGGTCTTCCAATCACTTTCAGTTACACTAGCCAAGTCTCTCTACGATACCAGAAAGTTTACAACAAATTAATTTGATATTAAGGCACTTTATACTTATGATTGTTAAAAACAGTACCTCGATCCTCTGAAAATAATAATATGCGCTAAAACAACTGTTTATAATCATGATTTTTTTGTGTGCAATGACAGCTCCTTCTCTATACAAAATCTAAATGTCTGCCATCTTGTTCCTGTTGAGCCCACTAATCTGTAATTAGTGTCAGAAAATTTGATTGTATGTATTTAAACAAGACCCTACTTGAAAATTACATTTTCCTCTGCCACCGAAGGTGGATGAAGTTATGTTTTCACCCCTGTATGTGTGTGTGTGTGTTTGTCAGTGAGCTTTCTCAAAAATGGCTGAATGAATTTGGATGAAAGTTGATATACACTTGGACTATGACCCAACTTACAAGTGATTAATTTTTGGAGGATCAAGGTCACAAAAATCCCTGTCTGTTAACATGGGTACCAGTTTTTCACACAATTTTTGCTCTATAACTCATTCAAAAATGATCATATTTTCATGAAACTTGGTGGACATATGTAGAATATGATTCCTCATTGTCCTGCCAAAAATGGTTCGAGTCTATTGATAATGATGGATGTACTGACACATTTTCGTATTTTTGGAGAGCCAAATATGATCAATGCTGCATGGCAGAGATATGTGCTCTACTGAGTGCCCCTCAAGTTAACTATGTGTTCTATTGAGTGCCCCTCGAGTTAACTATGTGTTCTATTGAGTGCCCCTCGAGTTAACTATGTGTTCTACTGAGTGACCCTCCAGTTAACTATGTGTTCTACTGAGTGACCCTCTAGTTAACTATGTGTTTTGCAGCAACAGCCCAGTACAGAAAGCTCAAAAATAAACTAAGAAATACTGAATGTTTCTTACATAATAATGATTATATTAGTTTTAATTGCTAGAAATTTAACAGGAAAAACACACACACACAAAATAAATGCAACAATTCTATGCTATTAACATGAATAAACTGTCAATATTTCAAGTACACTTATATACAACTGTCAACACATACCTTTAAATCATTAAACTGCTGTTGGATTTTTGGACGCTCCTGTCGATATCTTTCTAGCTCTCTTTTAAGTTTGGCCTCCCTATTCAAAACACAAATTTCTTTAATGTTTGACCCCTCTATTCAAACCACAAGGTTCTTTAAAACTTGACCTCTCTATTAATAGAGAGGTCAAGTTTTAAAGAACCTTGTGGTTTGTCAAGTTTTAAAGAACCTTGTGGTTTGTATAGAGAGGTCAAGTTTTAAAGAACCTTGTGGTTTGAATAGAGAGGTCAAGTTTTAAAGAACCTTGTGGTTTGAATAGAGAGGCAAACCACAAGGTTCTTTAAAACTTGACCTCTCTATACAAACCACAAGGTTCTTTAAAATTTGACCTCTCTATTCAAACCACAAAGTCCTTTAAAATTTGGCCTTCCTATTCAAAACACAAAGTTCTTTAATGTTTGACCTCTCTATTCAAACACAAAGTTTCTTAAAGTTTGGCTTCTCTATTCAAACACAAAGTTTCTTAAAGTTTGGCCTATTTAAGCAATAGGAGGAGTTCAAAAGATTCTTCTATTAATTTAATTCAGTACCTGTATTCTTTTCTTTTTTCATCCATCCGCTTGTCAATGGCTTCATAAATAGCATCTGCTTCTTCATCATCTTTGTCATAAGGGTCTTTACTGAACAAACTTCCTCCATAACCAGCAAACTAATACAAAAATTAAGCCAAACAGTGACACTTTTTTCTACTCTGGTTCCAACAAAATCAAAACTGGTATTAAAGGTAACTAGCAGAAATGCCACCATATGGGCAGCTGTTTGTGATAGTAATTATTAAATTTTTTTAGTACTATATTTACAAATTACATCAATAAAGATATAACCAAACCCTTGTGTACAGTCCTAGTGAAAGTTGTATTCTTGTTGTGAGGAGAGTACTTTTATTTAAAATAGTGTTCTATGATAATGAAGTGGTTGTTACACCTACCACAGTTATTTTTCTAATTGTCTGAATCTTAAATACCCAGAGTGTGACATTTTTTACCTGAAACACTGATATAGTATAAATAATTATGCCCCTTAACTGGAACACTGATATAGTATAAATAATTATGCCCCTTAACTGGAACACTGATATAGTATAAATGATCATGCCCCTTACCTGAAACACTGATATAGTATAAATGATTATGCCCCTTAACTGGAACACTGATATAGTATAAATAATTGAGAAAAACACAATATTTTCTTTCATATTTACCTCATCATAATTAGAATCATTCAAGTCTTCATCATCATCCTCATCTTCATCTTTCTTTTTCCGTTTATTTGCTGGTGCGTGGCGATCGTCACTGAACATAAAATCTTTACTTAGCACACAAGAACAAGATTATTTATAATTTTTTAGAACTATAGGTGGTCATAATATTATTTGTGATTCCAACCTTTGAGAATTAAACAACAAGAGTTTAGATACTTGTTATGTACCTGGGTTTTACTTATTTTTAATTGTGGAAAGCAATTTCTTATATACTGACATTAATCTTGAATGAAAATAGCTGTTTCAGTTAGACTGCAAACAATTTTTCATGATTTACTTTTAACTTGAACAAAATAATGGGTCTAAAAAATATTAAACTCCAAGTGCAACGTTTCTTCAGATTAACTGCTATAAAATGATCATGATTTGCCAGCCTTGTAACTATATGCCATGTAAAATACAACATTAAATACTTCAACTTGATTTTCTCTGTGTACATAGCTTTCTTTAATGAATCTTAGTCAAGGAATTCAATACTGCCATCCTGTATAATAACAATAAAGAGGACGAGTTTTCCCCGACAGAAGATTTTGGGATAAAGTAGAAAAAAATAAATTATAATCTAGGACTAAGCCTTTTATTTGGAAAACTTCTTAAACAGAAACTTATAAATCTATTCAGAAAAAGCCACATTCTAATAAGGAATGTTCAAATCACCCTTTTAAATCATGAGGAAAAGTAACAGGCATAAGTGTAAAATTGACAAACCAACTGACTGTTTAGAATTTTCAATTAAAGCTACATAAGGGCTATCTGAACATAGCCATCCCTGATTTTGAACTGGTAAACTGGTTAACAGCACCCATAGATAATTCTCTTGGATTTGATTGTTACTCTTACAGTTCACCCATTCCTCAAAGGTTGGGGTAAATGGACCATTCATGCAAGAAATTATAAAAATACTCATGTTCATTATTATTCATTAAAGTTACTTTAATTAAAATTTTTTTCTCAATAACTTAAAATATTAAATAAAGTTTTTAAACTTTATATAACAAATCTTTTTATTACTGTTCTAAATTATTATTTTTTCAGTTATAAATTCATGGATCGTTTTGTGTGCGTTGTAATTTTGAATTATTTTAAATCTTGGATAAGCATATTGATATTAGAGCTGTAAACAACATGAAAATTGTTTTTGTAGGTGAGAGATGACCTTGATGGGCCAAATGTCACTCTGATTATTTTTAAGATTTTAGATGATTATTATTAGAAAAGAAGGCTTGTGAAGCTTTAAAGGAGTACAATCCAAAACAAATAACGTGAGCAGAATGAGTGTTTGAAAGAAGGAAAAACTGGCTGATTCACAAACCTATAGTGTCAAGTTACGGCTATTTTCAAGACTTTAATTGCTGACAATCTGTAAGTTACTGTTTGTCCACATAACTGGTCAAAATACATGGCGAGTTTTTCACACAGTAGATATAATTAAAAAGTTAAATATAGTTGTGTAGTGTACAACCAATCATACATATCAATAAAAAACCAGCCTTTCTCAGTTAATTTTTATTGTATAATACTTAGATTCGTGAATGAAGCATCATAAATCAGATATTAATACTCCAACAGCTGCAGAATGGGGTTAATACAAGTCACTCAAACAATCTGTCTTTTCACCAAAATTCTACTAAAGAAATAATGTATATAAGCTTACAAGATATTTTGACTAAAATGTTGGTAAGTTGCATCCATTATATTTATATATAATATACATACTATAAAGTACAAAACCCTGAATTCCAGCATTTATTTTTCCTAGCTTCTACAACTATCCATCAATAACATTTTTTGCCCCTCTTTACTTCTCAGAAGGCATTCATCTGTTTTAAATAATGAAGAAATGACTGAAATGTAGCAGATTCTTGTGACATGAAAATCCTTTCAGATTTTGGCATGTGATGACTTTAAAAAAAAAATGCCAAAGTTAAGGTATAAAACGTTCCACTATCAAATAGATTTTTCAACTTTGCATGTTAATACTCACGGTACATCACTTGCATCACGGGCAGGACCGATATCTGACCGAGTGGTGAATCCAGTAGCACTGGAAGAGAAAAAATAAGTTAAAAACAAGTAAATATCACACTTTAGAGATCATTCATTTTAAACCTCTTTCACGTGCATTTTATGATTACCAAAACATTTGGCATAAACTAAAATAAAATCAAGTTCATAAAAAATATTATATTTCCATGCTCACTGCTTGATTTGTTTACCTAAACAATTAATTGTCTATAAATTGTTTGCGATTTAAAAACGTTTTTAATAACTTGTTTTCAAACAATGTAGGCATTAAACCTTAAAGAATACATAACATTGCATTTTTAATTGTTTACATAAATTGACCAATGATTTAACATTTTCTCACGAGATAATAAAGGGCATACTTCCTATTATACAGTTGTGTATTACATTATGTTTTCATATTGTAAAAATTATTAGCTACAACTCAATTTTAAGTGTAGTGAAAGATAAAATGTTTTGACTTCATAACAAGGGAATGTCAGGTTAATACAATAAATCATTGTTATGGTTAGTAGACTATATTATCATCTGGATCGAATTATCAATAATCGTGACAGGATAAAGGCCTCTAGTAACCTTAATGAAGTTTATAAGATTATAAGAATGAGTGACAGGATAAAGGCCTCTAGTAACCTGATTGAAGTTTACAAGATTATTCAAGTGAGTGACAGGATAAAGGCCTCTGATTTCTTTGTTTTACACTCAGAAGACAACAGAACTCTAAGATTTCGAAAAAGACAGGCTAGGGTCCAGTTTTATTTTTCTAAGAGGCTGACTGACTTACAGAATAAGTTACCAGTTGCATTAATGTAGGCCGGTACTTTACAAGAGTTTAAGAGGAGAATCAGAGATTTCCTGAAAAATAATGAGTAGTTTTTAAATTTTTATTTTTCTCAAGGGTGGGTGTGCAAGGAGAGCCTTTAGAATCAAATGGCCCCTTGTTGTATGTAGGTTATATTATCTTCTCAGTATATTCGACTGACAGTTCTCGTGCAAGGATTTAATAAAATCAGTTGACGACTCCGATGTTTTAAAATGCACAATGATTTCATGCTTTTAACTTTATACAATAAATTATTGTGAATTTTAAAACATTGGAGTTGTCAACTGATTTATTATATTGTTATCTGATTAAATGTTGCAATAAAAACCTCCAATTTTTTTTTGTGCTATATTAAGAAGACAATAGGAAAAGAAGACACAAGTTTATGATTTGGAAAAGACTGTTTTATTTTTCTAGCAGATAAATGCTGATAAATATTCCCAGATAAAATATGAAGTGTTTGAACTATTCTAGTTGGATTTTACATGGGGCATTGAAGATAATATTTTTGCACTTGGAAATAGAAATTGACATTTTATGAAGGATAAGCTATTAATACAACCTATTATTCAGCACTCAACTACACTAAACATAAGCTATTAATACAACCCATTATTCAGCTCTCCATCTAGACCAAGGATAAGCTACTAATATTTAAATCTAAATTAAGTGGACTGTGGAGATCCCTCGTTATAGCTACAGATAACAAAGAACCATTTGTTCTTCACAGCTGTCCCCTATACACCCACCTTTTGAGAAAAAATAAACATTTGAATCAATCCTTCAATTTCCAGGAAATCATTTATTCTCCTCTCAAACTCCTGTAAATCAATGTAAGATGCTGCCCTCCACTATTGCTAATGGTAACTTATTTTATAAAGTAATCACTTGTTAGAAAAACAAAACTGTCCTAACTGGAGCCTAACTTGTCTCTCCCAAATCTTAAATTTGTGTCCTATTGTTTTCAAACAACAGAGCACTGTTTCAATGGCTTCAGTAACTTATCTAACACTATTCCAAAATATTTTTCTTCAGTCACACAACTGAATGGGTTTACATCTACATTTAAGATGTGGCCAAATGATGATAATCCAAATACATTACCCTGCATTTACTATAATTGAAGCCTTATAATTTTCATTATAAAAGTAAGGATGAATAAAGTTTTGTTATATAAATTTGTTCATTTAGAACTTATTTCTAGGATTAAATCACACTCTTATATGCTAACTATCTACTACTAGATTGGATTGTTGTGGATTGTTTAATTAAAATAATTTCTGATCTTCCACTTTCAGTATTATGACTTTAAAGTTTACATAATTTAATTACCAAACCCTTGGTGTGCCTAACAATATAATTAAATATAATGAGTAAATAATAAACAACTTGCCATATACTCTGGGCAGATAAGCCTCAATCAAGTTAATGGTTAAAATTACTTTTAGTTTATAATAATTTTTCTTAATTACCTGCCTGATACTGTATGTTACTGATACTAATAATGTCACATTGTGATAGTTCTCAGTTAGGCCTAATGTATGAAGATATTCATAACTTAAATTAAAAGGCCTCATCGACACTGAATACAGTAGATATAGTATTGTTAACATATAATAATTTTACTTTCACTCTTGTATAGTAATAAGGTCTTATATTATAATTACAAATCCGAAATTGTAAGTTATTAATATTATTATTAGCATTACTATTATCAGCTAGCGTAAGTTCAAATAAAATATAAACGGGAACACAAAGTCTTCATATTTTCTGTGTGATATATAACTATACGATTATGAAATACACAAACAATTTAATATTCTAACAATTATAATAAAAGAAATAAGTGTTTACCCTCTTCCAACACCAGCAACATAACCCAGAGGAGCTGGAACACCGAGAAAATGTTTCTTTCTTTTACTGACTAATGCATTTGGTGCAATTGTCGCCATGACTAATAAATGGCGACATCTGGTGAAATATTTTATAATTATATAGTCATCACGGCAAAGAGTAAGCGATGGTAGTGGTGGACCCAGCAGTTCGGTGAGAAAATGTTCAGTATACTCCCAGCATTTATGATTTTTATTTGTGTATTTACTGGAATACGACGTATAATTAACACTTGTTAAATTTATATTACAGTTATTCCAGTTTTACATAGGTAATAATATTGTCGATCAAGTTACATGGCTTTAGGTTTAAGTCAGAAACACAGCCTAATGTAGCAGGCATATATAACGTTAACATCCCCATGGCTTATCAGTAAGGTTTGTTTCCTCAGGCCGAGACGCTTTACGTCGTAGCCTTGCAGTTCAACCTCGTAAAACTTATTCAAGAGTCGCATTGGCATAGTTACCTTTACACTGTCGTGACGTGAGGCCGGCCACCTGACGATGTTCGGATTAAGTTCTAGGTTTTTAATCCTTTTTCTTCTAGTTGGTTTGGGATGAATCTTTAAAACCGAATAAAGGCATCAATTACTTTTATTTTTGCCGTTACGTCAAAAGCTTTCAAAAGATTTTTTATACATATATATATCTTAAACACCGGTATCGTTCACAAACGCTTCCTTTTAAGAGCAAGCCTGTGTAGTGTTAGAAGGGCTATACGAGCAGCTGCGCCGGCTGTTCCACTAGTTCCTCTAAATGGTTGGTATACCCTTCCCTGACCAGCAAGCGTCTTTTTTGTTCTTCGGTAAGCTCTTCTTAACGTTTTATTACAGAAGAGCTCTTGTATTTTTTTCTTCTTTTTTTTTTATGTCGGGAAAGGGCAGGTGAGCTGATTGGTTATGAAGCTGCAGTAAAAAAACAAACTAGAAACCTCAAGCCAGGATGGTCATCCAGCAAGTTTGTAGGAGACAACAGAAAGTCTTTCTAGTGCAAGCTAGTGATGTATTTCTCTTCTAAATCGGTGTGTAGCCCATTAAAAAAGACATTTATTCGGTTTTAAAGTGTGTAAAAGAAGAAAGCTATCAATCCTATGAGTGTTTTATAAGAGGTAAAAAACAATGTGATTTTTTTGTGAATTTGTTCTGGTAGCAAAATAACTTTTTGCTACATCATTTAGTCAGTGAAGTTATGGAGTAAATAATCGTAAGTGTTTTTAATGTCGTTATTATTAAATTTTCTATTTTAAGAATAACTCTACATTTTTATTTATTGGAATAAGTATGATCAGTGTGAAATATTTAAGATCGTGTATTGTACAAAGGTAGCCCTATTAGAACTATAGAACAAAAAATGTATATGATCTCACTACTCGTGTTTCTCGTGAGTTGCCAACATAAATATTAATAATGGTTTATGTGAAAGCTAGAAAGATAGGCATTTGTCAAGTCGTGACTAAATATTCTTTCAACATCAATTAATCATATTTAAATAATTATATATCAACGTTTTGTCATTTTTAACTCTAATGTAAAATAATCTACACTTCAACGTCCTTTTAATCTTAAAAGTGTTGTTTACCCTGTAATAATATGACTTAAACATTCACTTGTTTCCATAAGAGTTGATAATTATATCGCAGTTAATAACAGGAAAACAACAACAACAACATAATTTCGTCTTATGATTGGATAAGTAAACTTAATCAAACTTGTCTTTGTTGCCGCTGCTGTATTTTTCAAGTAAATCGAACAATATATTTATAGCTAAAAAAAAAAAGCCTTGACTAAACAGTTTCTTCCAGAAGTTAAATCAACATTAAAACTACTGGAGGTAATCATTAACTGATTGTTAAAATGTGGTAACATGATAAATAGTGTTTTACCCAAATACTACAGATATATGTGAAGTGAGAGATAATTAGATAAACAATTTGTTATTTTCAAGTAAAATTATTGAATGGTAGTGGTGTTCCACCAGTGATTGAACTGATATACAATAGTTCATTCTGTGACTAAGAGTATGTACGACATATTAAAAATGACCATAAAATGTATTTTGTATGTTAAAAAAATCTTTTCAGCGTCATTTGTGTTTCGTTAAACTCGTAGAACTTGCTTGTTTGTCAGTTTTCGGATATTCGCGCAAAGCTACTTAAGAACTATCTGCGATAACTATACTACATTGTAAATTGATAGACTAGTGAGAAGGCAGCTAGTCGACACACCCACCGTCAACTCTGACTGAATTGTGGGACTGACTATAACTCTTATAACACATCCACGGAGCACGATGTTTTTGTTGTTTGTTTGCGGTAAAGGAACGCGCAGATCCATAGTCCTGTATTATTTCCACTGGGCCACACTCGGCCCAAAAGCAGAGCTACAAACATTTAACATTAAAAATTATAACCGACTTAGTAACCGCGATTCAACTATAAGTCGTCCAGATTGTACTGGTCTGTATTGTGTATAAAGAGTTAGTTTATATTTTGGACAAAGCTTCGACGGCTATTGTCCATAATTTTTAACTACTGACCAGTGGGAAGGCAACCAGTGAGCAACACCATACCACCCACCATTCATGTTAAGGATTGACTGTCACTCTAATAAAGCATCCACAATTTAAAATGCTTGGAATATTTTGTAGTATGGCGCGGATCTGAACCTGGCTTGTCAGCTCCGAAATCCTGAGCTCTACCACAGGGCCAACCAACAAACGACAAAATATTATAGTATATAGTTATCATTATGCTCATATCACAGAATCGAAATTAAATAATTTCGCCATAGATCAGGCTTGAATTGTGTTTCAGGTAAAAAGAAATAAAGAGTGTGATAACATTTTGAATACTTTTTCCGTGAAGTCTTCTTTAACTAATGATAATCCATTGGTGGTCAGCTAAAAATTACGAGTTTTGAATTATTTCCATCTTTGATTCTGAAATTTCGTGCAAAGCTACACAAAAGGCTATCTGCGCATAGTGGTTCCTAATTATGGACTGATGGACCAGAGCCAACAGCATCCACCGGCAACTGTCATGCTACTCTTGAGATTTGACCGTCACTTTTACAGACCCAAAGTGAGGAGCGCATCAACGGACCGTGAACCATGGATTCACAGTCCCGGCACGTCAACCAGTAGGCCATGCCTCGTCTTATATACTTGCCCCTGAAAGAGGGTGTCATAAACAAATGAATCCTATTAGAGAGTTAGGCTTAATAACTGTTATATTCTTTATGTCTTAACATTTTGGGGACACCTAAAGAATTAAGACTGGATCCCCTCACTGGATCTGTTCTTAGGATAACAAGTATGATGACACCTCTCAATTTCAGCGACAGGTCTGAATGTTTTTAACGCTGAAAATCGGGTTTGCTACCCGTGATAGATACACCACAGATAGCCCATTGTGTGTAGCTTTTGTGCTTAACAACAAACGAACAAATAAACTGTCACGATAAAGCTTTTCAGGGGCCGTCTCCGAATACCTCTAGATGTTGTTGTTTTTGTGTGAATCAACCCCTCCCCTCCAGAAACTCTAAATCTGCCTCCGCATGGGTTAACCTAAAAATTATCGTTTTTCGTTAAATTGTAATAAACATTTTAATTAAAGCACGCTTTACACTACAGAATAATATTGCTGTCAGCCGGTTTGGAGGTGGCTTCTTTCAATAGCTTGTTAGCTCAGTTCTTGCCCTCGAATCAGCTGCTTAGCTGAGGTTACCATAACCGTACGAAGACAGACGCATCAACTTAAAATAATTTTTCATGCAATCTCCTCGTTGAATAAATTATTCCTGGATAAGCCTCACGTAATGCGAAAGGGTATTTAAAAGTAAAATACACCAAGAAATTCGTTCGTAAGCTGTCGGACGCATATGGATGTATTTAATTACCATAAATTAACTTTTTGGTTTTCATTAATAATGTCCGCCGCTGTTATATACGAACTATTCACTGGTCCAACCATTAACTTTGTCATCCGTTCATATCCATCTGCCTAACCACCTTTCTTATCCCCTTTCACCCATTCAATTATATAAACACCCCCCACTGAATTTAACATATAAAACGAATAAGAACGTAACCGTTCGCCCATCCATTTATCAAACTCCCCCCCCCCACGCCGCCGCAATGTTATACGCTCCTTCATTCATACAATCAATCACCTATATTAGCTTATCCTCCAGTTTATTCACTAGCCCTATTCAGCAAACTGTTTATTAATCCACCCTTCCACCCATCTATGCAGTAAATGACACTCACTCACCCACTTATTTAGATGTTTTCGTTGGTGATAAATATACGTTAATAATGTCCTTGCCTTCCTTTGCGTCTTTGCCAGCGACATCTCGTATAGTTCTAACGCACTACTTTTGTTACTTTTACTCACTAGATTAAAGATGAGTTACTAATTATGTTACGCGTTTTCTTTTATCCTTCTCTCACGCTCTCTATGCAAAGGCAATTGGCTCGTGTAAGATGTAAGGTAAGGTGTAAGACAGTTTTTGCAATAAATTATAGAAACTGCTTGCTGAGAGAAACATGTAATTTTCGTCACGTTTTCATCAATACAGTATATTCACATGTAAACTTGTACTTTCACGTCATTTCACATGAAAAACTATATATGTATTTATGGCAAAGCTGCTAAGGCTATCTCTCAACTTCCCTAGTTTTGAACTGCTGACCGAAAGGATGGAAGCCAGCCAGTAGCACTCTACCATCAAACAATCACAATAAGGGGTTGACTGTCATTTTTTATAACGTACCCATAGCTTAAAGTTCTGGGAATATTTTGTGGCCTCGCATGGATTCGAACTCGGCTCACCATCTTCGAAATCCATAGCGCTACATGTTGAAGGTTACTACTGTGAGATAAAGCAAAGTTTTACGTTCTTTTTAAAAAGAGCATGAGTCAAATTATTTTATCTTATTTATGTAATTATTTCTTAAACATGATAGCGTTTAAATTATAACGTTAACTGTCACCGGATAGCTAACAAAGAGAGTTTGATTTGCTTTGTTGTTAGGTCAGAAATGTTTTACACCAGTATAAATCTTCAACTTACTGACTTGTTTCGTATCGTTCACTGCCGGAGGTACAAATATTGCTTCATACTGAATAAATTTTTATAATTTGTTTGTTTACCTTAATCTGTGTAAAGAACTGATTAAAAAAAAGGGTTCAAATTACTAATTTCTTATATAAAGTACACTAGTGACCCCATAAGTATCTAGTGGGATTAACTGTATTATTAATAATATGTTTGTGTGATGTATATATATTTTTTACCGGGACAGTCCCTGTTTCAATGTCGTGACTGGAAAGTGAGAATTGGAAAGGAAGTTCCGGTTTTCTGGATCTTCGGTCTGAAAGTCGAAATGTTACGTACACATAGAAAAGTGCTTCATATGATGTATGATAACTATACAGTATTTTTGTGCATTTTTTTTTAAATTCAATTTTATATTATTTTAGAAATTGAAACGTATGGCAAAAATAATAATCCCAAGGTTTCATGCACTGTATTAATGTAGTGTCCGTCATGATAGTACTAAAGAAATAGATTTCTCCAGTTTAGAAAAATTATGTGATTTTTCAAGTAAAAATAGAAAACATTTTATTTCACCATATTACCTAATTTTGTACAAAACTATTATATTTAAACTGCGTTTTCGGTTAAGCTTTCCTCCAGATCACCTACACGTGCATATTTTCCGATTTTTTTTATCACGAAATGTGGCAATTCAAGTTATTAGGGATCGCGAAATCTACAAAATCATGGCCCTACAAGAAATTTGGCGAATAAATAAGCTCAAACATGTTCACTCTTTCGTTTGTGGCTTGTGTAAACCTGCTTACCGTCCCATGCGCAAAGATTCACGAAATTTTGGGATGGGCCATCCAAAATGTTGCGCGCAAAATGCCTGCATCATATAATGCCAACCGCAGTTGAATGGTTAAAAATCCCCATCGGTAATTTTTAGGTTCAACTTTTGAATTGAAACTAACGTTAA